TAAAATAAAATAGCAGGGCTGACTCACTCTATGATCCAAATATTCTGCAAAACCTTAAAAGAGCAATGAATAGACAGTGGAAGGGGAGGAAAAAGTCATGCGAAATGTGCAGCCAATGACAGGCTTATTCCCCAAGTCTACATCTTGTAAGTCAGAATACATTACTAGTTACATCAAAAAGTATTCTGAGTACTCTAGCTATTTACACTGTGATACATTACCCAAAAAACTGGACAACATCTTCAGTTACTTATACAAGAAACACTTTTCAAATATAAATTCTATGTAAATGTAATGACTCTATTCCTCACTGGAGATGCTAATATCATTGGAAAAACTAAGTTTTACTGATTCCAGCAGCACACGTATGACCTCTGTGTATCTGAGTGGCAACACTGAGGAAAAAAAAATCACTGACATAAACTCCATTAATCAGGCTCAAGTGGTTTAATACGGTTTCTATAAGAATCAGAGGAAGTTTCAATTCTTAATTAATGATTCCTATTTTCTCCAGAGTGCACAGTGCTCACACTGGAAGGTAATTGCTGACACAGCCTGCTGATGAATTCCTATGAGCTAAATTATAGAGGCAAATTATAAAACGTGTTCATTGCAGCAATAAAGCAACTAGCCCCGATAATGAACCTGTTGACGAGAAACGCTGCCCTCCAAGGACCTTCTCCTCCACCTCTCAGACCTCTGAAGCATCAACCTTCCCCTGCCTGGCCTACATACTGACAGCTCTAACAGCAGCGATCTACTGCTTGTTGGGTGTAGTTGTAAGTTCACCTCCTGGTTGTTTTGATCACAGCGCATACAAATATACAAAAAAGCTGACTTATAAGGCCATCAGCATATATTGCTACTGCATGAAGCTAAGTAATACACCATTAAACAATTCCATTTTATTGTGCTTTGAATGACTGACACATGTAGAAACGTTGTTTACCTTTAGCAGGACATCAACACACTGCAAGCCTCTACTTACCACACACTCCCAGAAAATTTAGCTCATGTTTTACAGACCTGTCTTTCATTACCTCCTCTGTGAGCCAACAGCGCATTTGGGAGTTTGGTTACTTCACTCAGGGGCATGCAACTCGCACAGAATCAAATTAAATCCTGCGCCAGCATATAACAGCTACATACATGCAAAGTAGGCACTGAAATTTCCATTTGCTGCTGTGTTGCTTGTCTTACAATGCAAAAGTCATTCTCACATTTCAGTGGGTTCTTTCAGCTCAAATGGGACATGAACTGTGCTGCAGCATCCTGACTGGTGCATGCTGTCCCTATGTACCAAAAGAACACTCCATCTTGCCAGATTTTTTTACTGGTTGAGTGTTCTTAATGGCCAAAACCCAAGAAAAATTATCCGTGTCTTATCAAATGTCCTAAAGCAGCCCGTTCTGCACCACTGTGGTGGAGAAAAAGTCTGATTAACTCAGTCCAACTCATTTCCCTGTCTGACTGAAATAATGTGGAATTCCATTTTCTTAATGTTCCTACTCCACCTTTCACCCCTACACCCAGATTTAATGTTGTGCTGATTACACATGGACGGCCTGGTTCAATGGGACTCCCATGGGAGAACTCGGGAACCATAATTGCATTATCCAGGGTCTGGTCATTGCACACGGATCATTTTTTAGTCTCCAAACCTGGCCGTGACCCTCTCTGTGAGTCAGTACTCATAATGTTGTTGACCTTTTTAGTGTCTATTCACATTACTGGATACAGAGTGGAGCAAATAAACTGTGAAGAGTAACTGAGGGGAACTGAATGCACAATGACCTGACATGCCAACAGACTGAGGAGCCAGAAGAAAACTTTGGTTCTATTTATTCTTTAAAGCCTTACTATTTTAGTAAAGTTGGCCAGTTGAAATCAAACCCAAAACAAACCGAAAGATGTTCGTAAAAAATGTCCTGGTCTCTTTTGTAAGGTGACACTGAGTTCACTCCCCAAAAGAATCATTATAATAGCTACAGGCACTGATTAGCAGACGTTTAGATACACTGAAGTAGAAGGTTTATGAATGTGACATTTTGAGAAATAAGTCCATTGTGTTTTTGTGAAAAGAGAGTTAACATGCTGGTGTCATTTCCTGGCTGGCCTTTCTTTTACTGATTTCTGTGATTAAATCTCTTCATAGTTTGTGTTTTCTATGATCCACTAGAATCCACTACTACACTTTTCGCATAATTCCTCTCTTCTTAGCGGTAATCAGAGGTGTTACTGGGTGGTGTGAAAATGGTGTTACATTTTTCTGAAAAAACACATTTCACCTTTGTCAACCTAATTAAACATAATTAAGGTCACATTAGAAAATGTGTTCATTCCATCTTCTCAAAACCATTTCATTTGTAGATAAGAGCTCAGCTCATGCTGTAACAATTGTCAAAGATGTGACTCTCAGTTAGGGAGCAAGGATGAAGTGACTTACGCATATGCATTAAGGTGACGATCATTATCAATTAATCCATCAGTTATTTTCTCGATAAACTGATTAGTTGTTTGGTCTATAAAACATCAGAAAATGGTGAAAACTGTTGATGAGTGTTTCCCAGAGCGTCCTCAAATGTCTTATTTTGTCTGCAAGTCAAAAATGTCAGTTTACTGTCATTGAGGATTTAAGAAACCAGGAAACATTCAAATTTAACAAGCAGGAAGCAGAGAACATAGATTTTTTTAAAAACAAAAATGATCAATTATCAAAATAGATTATTTTTATTGCATACAATAATTTAGTTAGTTACATGATTACTTGTTACAGTTCTAATATCTATCTTGTAATGCCAGATATAATAATACATCACTTCCAATGGGAGTGTTATACAAAACCTGTATTGTTATGAAACTACATTTTTGACTGTTGCATGTAGGAGCTTTTAAATTATTAAAACTTTAGGAAGGTCCTGAATACTTTCTCCACTGATTCACCCTCAAAGTCTGACCAGGAGCTGAACCATTTCTGTCTCCTTTCCTCTTACCAATCTGATTCTCACTCTCTGACTTTCTTTTTTTCCTCCTTTCTTTTTTCCCCAGCCTTAGTTGGAGTCAAACTGGGGATGTTGCAATAGCCTTGTGACAAATTGTCATTAGACTCCAGAGCTACAGTGCTTGCAACATCTATCTGGTGTTTTACTCTATCGTTCCGTTTCCTGGTGACTAGGTCAATCATTTTGTTGCTGATGGCCTCCAATCATTGCTTTCTGCATCTGTTTTCAGCAATATCTAAACCAATGTGCTGTCAGTGTTCAATCAAGAGCATCCAATTCTGCCAATGCAGTTTTATTAAAAGAAATTATTTGAATTTGGGTTTGTAATGGGTCTTAAATAAAATAACCACACACAGTTGGAGGGAAGGGGCTCTCTGTCAGTCATTTAGTTTCTGTTGACCACCCTGTATACTGCTGCCTAAAATAAAATGATGTTAAAAGTCAGAAATACAAACTACAATTTTATGATCAAACATTTTATAATCAACATATAAATTGTTATATTATACAAGATAAGACAAACTAGCCTGCCAGGCATACCCAGGACAGATGTGGATTGAATTTGTTAAAAAAGCTGCACTTTGTGTTAAAGAAATTTATTGTTGCTTGACACATTATGCAAATGAATGCATTATGTAACTTTCCTAAATTATTATGTATTTTTTTAATGACATTAACTACATAATTAATCATGTATGAAGGAGAATTTAGTTAGCATTTTGCTTTCATGTTTGATCATTTATTCTTCATTTGTGGTGCTTGTACAGTAAATATGTCGAGAGGATCAAGATTAAAGGCTTCTAAAAAGACAACTGTATGTTGTCTGTGACTCTATGACATAGTCCTGGGTAAGGTTTGGTTGGAGGGCTGGATTTTAAGTCATATGTAGTTCAAAGGTCTCATATGATGAACATGGCTTTTTTGCATTTTGTGGTCGTTATACACTTGGGGGTTTGAAAACAGAAGCTGTTAAAATCCAAAGATATTTACTTCTGTCATACCTAAAGCCCCCCACTACTAGTTAGCATTCCAGCTTACAAGTGAGTAAGATTTATTTATTTTTACCAAGGACAGTGTCTTTTTCCTGAAGGTGGCCATTACAGCAGCATCTCATTGATTTTAAAACAGCCCATTCAAAACAGCCCTAAAACCGGAGCTTATACAGTCATTAACAAATGAACCATCATTTTAGGATTTTGAGCTGAAAAACTGAAAAAGGCGCTGTGGGAGCATGTGAGCATGTGGGATTGTGATTAATTTGAAAAGGGAAAAAAAGGGTAAAGGGGCACAATATGAGACCTTTAAATGTCACAGGGACTTGTGAACATGGACCCCCAAGTTTTAATTTCACATAAACTCTATTTGGTTCTAAAGATGCCTAAAAGTGCTGATACAATGCAAAAGATAACAATTTACAACTTTTGTCTGGCTGTTAATGCTGACTGCTTTACATACTCTTTAAACATAAAAGTAAAAGAAACTCTCAAACTTTAGAGCATTTAGTCCGATAAGTGACATTCAGCATCACTTCACCTCTTTGCTGACACTAACTTTAAAACAATGAGTGTGAATGGGAAAGGTGTTTGGCTTTGTGTAGCAGTACAATAGGAGGATGGGGTGATAGTGCAGTGAAACAACAGTGTGATGAGTGGCTTTTGTCTGTGAATATGACTGTTGTGAAAAACCTTGGAATAAAATCAAAAGCGAGTCTTTTCCAAAAAAAAAAAAAAACACAAAATCCAAACTAATGTGAAGCACAGGAAATCTCAGCATTACATCCATCCTGCAAAGAACATCTTTGGATGCAGAAAAAGGTTGACAATAGCTATTTTCTCAGTGATGCTTTTGTAATCAGAAAGAAGTGATTGATGTTGTATTTCAGTCACATACCAAAGCTCCATTTGAAAGCTGTGTTTGCAGCTAATGGATCCTACCTGTCAGTAAAGCTGTTAACATGTGGACTGAGCTCTAAGTGTTGTGGCTATTATGAGTACTCACTCTCTGTGTGAGAAGGCAGCACCAGTCTGGCCAGCAGCAGGAGATGAAGAGCTGCCCTGCTGAGAAGCGACAGCTGTCTGAATCTAAGGTCCATGGTCTGACTGTTGGTTCGCTCTCCGCTGGTCCCGACGCTGCTGTTAATTGGCTATGAGCTCACACGTTCACAGAGTGACACCTGGAGAAAGATGACAACTTATGTTAATACAGAAGTCTGGTAGAGGCTCACTTCTGTGAATTAAATTTGTCACTTTGTGTTGTAAACATCTGGTGGGTTTGATGTGTCATATTTGTGATATAAAACTGTCATTTGCTGACTGTTTCTTTTTCCCCCAAAATATTCATCCATCCATCCATCCATCCATCCTCTATACACCGCTTAATCCTCATTAAGGTCACAGGGGGGCTGGAGTCTATCCCAGCTGACTTAGGGCGAAGGCAGGGGACACACTCTATCGGAGGGCTACGCTTAGACAACCATGCACACTCACATTCACACCTATGGACAATTTAGAATCACCAATTCACCTCAACATGTTTTTGGACCTTGTGGGAGGAAGCCGGAGAACCTGGAGAGAACCCACGCTGCACGGGGAGAACGTGCAAACTCCACATAGAAAGATCCTGGGTGTCCTCACAGGGACACGAACAGCAACCTTCTTGTGGCGAGGCAACAATGCTAACCACTGCGCCTTGCCGCCCTCCCCCAAAACATCTTAATTATAATAAAGAGAAATATATGATTTAATGTCTTTAAGTATTTTAACATTCTCTGTCACATTCGTCCCACACAGCAGCTATCCAGCTGGAAAACCAGTGCCTTCATCCTAAGTCACAGTTGAACTGGTGTTGAGCTAACAGTAGATATTCATGAGGCTGAGGCTTTAGTTTGGCAATGGGAAAGGTACATGGCTGTGCCAAAGCCTCTTCAAACCACTAAGAACAAGGGCTGCAGAGTTATTCAAATTTTAGTCTCAATCACAATTTTGGCTTCATGCAATGAAATGAATACGACCGATTGCAATAATGACATTTAAAATGCTTTACTCATAAAAAAACTCCATTGCATATCAAATTGAGCATTTCCGAAACCAATTGCCAGCCACCGGGGAGCAACTGAGATATTTGGGAAGCCGTCATGCTGCTGCACATGCACCCCTGTAGTGGCAGCCTGCGCAAAACTTTCCTGGATATTGCGGCTACAGCCCAGAATAGAAGATATACAGCTATGTGCAAGTGGGTAAAATCAAATGTCTGCAGCAGAAGGTGAAGAACTAGTCCACTGAAATAGATCATTTATTCAATGTTTGGATAACGTCATGTTGAGTAGGAAAAAAATCACATGCATAGTGCATGCGTTCAGGGAGCTCAAGACCCTAGAGCACACCTGGGGAACCATTCAGAAGCTGGCCCAGAACAGACATGAGTGATGATCCTTTGTTGCTGCCCTACATGCCTGACGGCATTCATGGGCATGATGACGATGATGATGATGATGATGATGATGATGATGATGATGATGATGATGACAGTGCATTGGTCTGTGCTAAAGCAACACATCTGACTTTTTCAACCAATTGAAAAACACCACAAACTGTAGCTTATGAACAAATGATGAGGTGGTAGAGCGGTTGTCCTCTGATCGTAAGGTTGGCGGTTCCATCCCTGCCCCCTCCACAGTCGACGTGTCCTTGGGCAAGACACTGAACTTGAAGTTGCTCCCAATGGCAGCCATTGGTGTGTGAATGGGTGAAAGAGAAAACATTGTAAAGCGCTTTGAGTGCTGCTAAGGTAGAAAAGCGCTATATAAGTGCAGTGCAGACCATCTATGTGAAAGTGCTTTGCATTGTTTCACCTGCAAGCCACATCGTACCTTAAATGCATTACAGTACTAGAAACTACTAGAACCACTTGGCATTTCTAGCCTATGTACATGTGACTGGGACCCAACTGAAATCACAGATTGTCTCAAAAAGCACAGAATGAAGTAGGACAATGAGTCATTCATCTTCAACTAATTCTGCAGTACTATTTTGTGTAATACAAAAAGCAGTGCACATAGCAAAGATAGATCCACCAACTACATGTGTTTTATATATGTTTGATCACCATAAGTAAATACAGCAGGGTACCGCAAAGTTTATACTCTGACAGAGGTACATATCAGAACTAAACATAAAACATATAATTAAGTACTAATGCATGCAATCAATACATAACTTCCACACTCCTCCATATCAGTATGCATATTTGAAGGTCTTCACTGATTATACAGCAAAGCTTTTCAAAATAACATGGACGAAAAAATCCTCAGAAGTCACCAGCAGGCCTGCAGTGCTCCATATGCTCATTCATAAATCAATAGCTGCATAAGTAAACAATCAATGCAAAACCTGGGACATGCATTCAGCATATGATTCACTCATACCTACACTGTGGTCTATTTTTACACACTGCAGCTAAATTACTAACTGTATCATCATCACTACCTTATATTTATTTCAGAAGCTCATATTAACCTTTGCATATTAAATGAACTATGAAATGATGACAAAAACATGCTCATGCTACATCTCTTGAATACCAGCTGTAAAGAAGTCTTCACAAGTGCAAAATAAGAAACTGGAAAATACAGTTTTATATTGTATTAGCCTCGTATTCAAAATGATCTTTCCCAGTCGTACTGCTGAATGTTCATTATTGCTTTTGTTACATTTTGATGGAGCATAAATAGGTGTGCTAAAATTTCAGAAAAGATGTTGGGTGCATTCATACCACTACCGTAGAGACACTTCATTGTCACACATTAATGTGAGGATGTGCATTATTTTTTGGATTACTTCACAGCTCAAGCACCTGAACTACAGTTGCCTTTTATTAATGATATTTTGTTACTTTTTAAAGTAATTTTGGTCATTTGGCGTTTCTGTGACGTTAAAAGTAGAAAGAAAACATGGGGGTGACCTGCAACAAGCAATAATCAGTTGTGGGCCTGGTGGATTATCAGACCTGATAGTCAGCATTTTTTTTTTTTTTTTTTTTAATTTGACTGATCGCTGTTAAAACTATGCTTTTTTTGCTGCTTCTTTCTATCAATAGTCACCACTCTATAGTCTATATAGTGTTTATTATCTGCTTGATTACTAAATATCAGTATCAACCCTGTAAAAAAAAAGAAACAGACTGGTTCACCTCAAGTCCAAAAGCAGAGGGCATAGTGGTATATGGGAAGTGTGTTAAAGTACCAGGCAATGGAGATACCCCAGTAGAATTCTGCTAAAATATGACTTAAATATACCGGAGCAGCTACAGTGATTTATTCACCCCAACACCTGCCATCACCAAAAATAACACGCTCCACAGGCAAACCTGCCTTCTATGTTTCACAATAAGCAGTAAGCACATGCTTCTTGTGGTTTCCACTGAGTCCACATGGGTACTGAGATGCATTCATCTGGAACACAAGTACAGCCGAGTCTGCACAACTTCACTGATTGCACATCAAAACCAGAGATGTGCTGTGAATTCACGGATCAGAGTGATACAAACTCCCTCCTGCCTCAGCACACAAGAAAACCACAGAGGGAGAAGAATGGGCAGACTGTATTTTCCCCTGATTTTCTTGCTTTCTCAAATGAAACCTAGAGCGGCGTGAATCTCGTCAGCGTCGCCATCCATGCAGATGCTCTCAGCCGACAGTTCGAACTGGATACATCCAGCCAGTTTATCTGCCTTTTAGTATCCTGTATGTCAAATGCACTCAAACATAAGAAAAATGTTTTGAATGTTTCCCCACAGTGTGACTGAACAATCACAGAAAGTATCACCGAAAAAATTCAGAGAAAGTTTAGGGACGATTTACAGTGAGCTCAACACTTCATGAGGAGTGTTGTCACAGGAAGGCTGGGAGGAGACGAAGCGCTGGACTCCCATGGACTTCCTGTTGCAACAGCCTTTCTTCATACCTTTGATATTGTGTGCCAGCAGCACTGTTAGGACAGCTGCTACAACACTGTCATCAGAGCACATCCACAGCTCTACAGCATCTCTGACTTCAACCCACCGATTAAGGTAATTCCTCAAAGAATTTACTATCTATATTTATTTTTAAAAGGCAAAACAACAGTCAGGTGTTGGGCCACCACATGCCACCAGAACAGCTTCAGTGCACCTTGACATAGGTTCTCCACATGTTTGAAGTCTACCAGGGGAGTGAATATCATTCTCCCACAAGATATTTCTTCATTTAGTGTTTTTGTGCTGGTAGAGATTACTGTTGAACACATCAGTCCAAAACCTCCTGTAGGTGTTCAGTTGTGGTGAGACCGAGTGACTGTGAAGGCGATAGCATGTATTTATATCATCTGTAGAGATAAACTACAACTGAAAGTCAGGAGTGCATAAAAAAGCCAACATATTTCTGTCCAGATTAAGGAAACGAACAGGTAACATCACTGCAGAGCAATCACACCCTGGACACAACCTGTTCCAACACTTCAAAGCACGAAACACATAAACAATCAGACACAGGCTTTTGTTTTTTTTTTCCCCCACAGGCCATCACTCTGATAAATATTTAAATCAGTCAGGAAGAACTCTCGAATCCCAACCCTACATATATTGTATATCACATACCTGAGTATACTCCTCCTCAGCAATGCTGCTCTCTGTTCCACTGCACTATCGTCCACCTACCTCATGTACATAAGGTGCCAGGAACTTTGTATTTATTGTTAATAATTGTACTTTTGCTCCAAACTTTGGTTCCCTTTAAGTCTGCACTGCAACTCTAAATCACTTTAAACTTTTACACATCTGTAGTTGTATGTAAACTCTCGTTTTCCTTCTGTAACCTGCTGCCCTTGTTTAAATAGCTGTGTTTTATTTTATAGAAGTCAAATTCCTTGGATGTGTAAATGTATTTGCTCAGTAAAGCTGATTCTAATTTTTAGAAGAAAAAAAAAAGGTAGTGACCTTGTGCCCTGTAGATGAAGGCATTATCATCCTGTAAGAGACCATTCCCTTCAGAAAAGAAATGTTTCATCATAGTATCAAGGTAATCACTGACAACTGTTTTATTGATTTGCAGTGACTCTTCACTTTAAGAGGACAAATGGACGTAATCCATGGCAACAAAAAGCCTCCCACAGAGTAACAAAGCTACCAGATCTCTTCCCT